ACCTGAGCCGAAGTTGGACTCTTAACCGACTGAGCCACCCAGGCACCCCTCTGTGAGCTTTTTTAGAAGCCCTCTTTCAGATTGAGGAAGTTCCATTTTATTCCTAGTTTATGAAGTGTTTTTATCATGAAAGGCTCTTGGGTTTTGTCAATTGCTTTTTCTATTGAGATGATCATTTTTAAAAAAAAAATTTTTAATGTTTATTTATTTTTGACACACAGAGAGAGAGAGAGAGCATGAGCAGGGGAGGGGACAGAGAGAGAGGGAGACACAGAATCAGAAGCAGGCTCCAGGCTCTGCGCTGTCAGCACAGAGCCCGATGTGGGGCTCGAACTCACTGCAAGATTATGACCTGAGCCAAAGTCAGACGCTTAACCGACTGAGCCACCCAGGCACCCCGAGATGATCGTTTTTTAAAAAACATCCTGCTTTGGGGCGCCTGGGTGGCGCAGTCGGTTAAGCGTCCGACTTCAGCCAGGTCACGATCTCGCGGTCCGTGGGTTCGAGCCCCGCGTCGGGCTCTGGGCTAATGGCTCAGAGCCTGGAGCCTGTTTCCGATTCTGTGTCTCCCTCTCTCTCTGCCCCTCCCCCGTTCATGCTCTGTCTCTCTCTGTCCCAAAAATAAAATAAAAACGTTGAAAAAAAATATTTAAAAAAATAAATAAAATAAAAAACATCCTGCTTTTAGGGCACCTGGGTGGCTCAGTCGGTTAAATGTCCAACTCTAGATTTCGGCTTAGGTCATGACCTCACAGTTCGTGGGTTCAAGTCCCACGTCAGGCTCTGTGTTGACAGTGCAGAACCTGCTTGGACTTCTCTCTCTCTCTCTCTTTCTCTCTCTCCCCCTCCCCCTCCTTCCTTTCCCCTTTCTCTGCCTCTCCCCTGCTTGCTCTCTTGCTCAGAATAAATAAATTTTATTTAAAAAATCCTTTTTTAATTGATCTTTGGATATTAAATCAACCTTGCGTTCATGGGATACATCTTACTTGCTCATGGTGTATGATTTTTTCTATATGTTGCTAGATTTGGTTTGCTTGTATTTCGTTGAGGATTTTTGTCTGTATTCCTAAACAATATCTGTATTTTTCTTGTGAGGCCTTGTCTGATTTTGATATCTCGGTAATACCGGCCTTATAGGAAGAGTTGGGAAGTATTCCCTTCCTCTGTTTTTTGAAAGAGTTTGTGAAGGATTAGAATTCATTTTCTTTTGAATGCTTGGTAGAAAGTCAACAGAGAAGCCATCTGGGCTTTGGTTTTTCTTTGTGTGCAGTTTTGAAATTACTAATTCAATTTCTGTACATGTTAGATATTTATCAGATTTTCTGTTTATTTTTGGGTCAGTTTTGGTAATTTGTGTCTTTCTAGGAGTTTGTTCATTTTATTTAGGTGATCTAATTTGTTAGCATATTGCTGTTCAAAGTGTTCCCTTACAATTCTTTTTATTTCTATGAGCCAATTGTGATGTCCCCTCTTGAATTCCAGGTTTTAGAAATCCAAGTCTCCTTTTTTTCACAGGTACTCTACCTAAAAGTTTGTCAGTGTTGTTGACCTTTTCAGAAAACCAGTATTTGGTTTTGTTGATTTTCTTTATTTTATGTTCTCTATTTCATTAATTCCCACTCTTATTCCTTCCTTTTGCATACTTAAGGTGTAGTTTGCTCTTCTCTTTCCAGTGTCTTGAGGTGGAAGGTTAGTTTATTTGGGATATTTTTTCTTTTTAATATAGGCTTTTACAGCTATAAATTTCCCTCTAAGTAATTAGCTGTATCCCGTACATTTTGGTATGTTGTGTCTTCATTTATATCTAGTTCAAAATATTTTCTAATTTCCTTTATGATTTTTTGTTTGATCCATTGATTATTTAGGGGAGTGTGTTGTTTAATTTCCATATATATGTGAGTTTTCTGAATTTCTTCTGTTTTTGATTTCTAATTTCATTCTATTGTGGCCAGACAACAGAATTGTATTTCTATCCTTTTATATTTATTGAAGTTTGTTCTATGATCTAGCATATGATACACATTGGAGAATGTTCTGTGTGCGCTTTCGACATTGTAATTTTAACTCAAAATTTTTTTTACATTTATCAAGGAAAGTGCCAGAATCAGAACAACTATGGTATACCTTTATATTGGAA